GCTGCTCCGTATGCTCGCTGCTGTGGGCGCTGCTGCCCGCTATTCCAGCGAAGTGCGCGCCGTCCCACGCCTAGGTGTGTGCCCACGCCGCCATCTCGCGCGCCCAACGAGTACCGCGCGTCGCGACAGAATTGGCGGCGAATCGGAGTCGTCCCACGTGGCTCAGATCAGACTCAAGATTCAAGATTGGAGCTTTCGGCGTGCGCGCGCATTTCGAATTCTTGATTCAAATTCAAGCTCCGTGATTGAGCTCTTCAAGTGAAGAGAATTTGAATCAAAATCTTCCGAATACATACGCACTAATACAAATTTACACAAACGCGCAACAAAAATGGCTTTTCAGATTAGGAGTATAACATGTGTATGTGCGTGGGTGCGAAGGTGACGTTAAAGCGTGGCACCCAAAGACTTTGAGATCTTCTTCCAGAGACTGCCTCTCGCTCGACTAAAACACCATTCACGATTGGCAGAGCATCGTTTACCATCGCCATCGCGAGCGCACCGCACCGCACCGCACCGCACCGCACCTCACCCAGACGCACACTCAACATGTCACAACGACAAATTCCAGGCCCTCAGCCGCGCGACGTGCCTAGAAATGCTCCTTCTGCGTTTGGGAGGAGCGCAGCAGCGGCGGCAGCAGCGGCTGGTGCTTCACGATTCTCCGACAAGGACTTGGCCGCTCTCGACGGCGAGACGGAGCACATCACCTCTGTCCGTCTTGATGGCTTAGCTCTCACAAAGATTGTCAAACACAGCAAGGACGCTCATCCCCACCAAGCTGCTGGAGCGCTGTTGGGTCTTGATATTGGCGGCGCCCTTGAGGTTTCCAACGCTTTTCCTTTGCCTGCTTCTTCTCTCAAGAGTTCGGGCGGCGATGATGAGGACATCGAGAAGAGCGCAAAGAGCGGTGAGTGTCAGCGCGCTTGAATGCGAGAAAGCAGTCTCGAAGCTGCCTGGCCGTCGCATATTGCGACAAGCAATAGCAGAATCCTTGGAGCTCGTCGAGTCTATCGATGGTTGGTGGACAGTGGCTGTAGCTTCACTAGAAGGGCGAAGTGTGCATCCATTGGTTTCGCACACGACACTGAATCGACCTGCCTTCTCTGACCAGCCGCTCGCTACACCGCATCCATGGTGAAGCTAATGAGAGACGTAAATGCGGACGCGAATCCGGTAGGCCTATATCAGAGCTGCTTCTTGGGCAGCTTCCTGCAGACGCCCATCGTCGAGGGCCTCTTCTCCGTTGCTGGATTGCTCGAACGTGAAGGGCCTCACGGAAGAGGCAAGGGAGTGCTCGTCGTTCACGGTGAGTCGTAAACCGGCTGGCAGCCCGATCGCAGCGTGTTCGCGTCTCGCTGACCGCGTGTTCTTCTGCTGCTTCGTACCTCAGACCTGGCGCAGTCCGCTCAAGGCAACACTGTGGTGAAGGCTTACCGCCTCGCCCCTTCGTTCATTGAGGCGCATCGCAAAAATGCTTTCACAGCTAGCGGGTGAGCAAGCTGACCCCGAAGCTCTAGAACATTTGTGCCAATTAGCTCGACTTACCTGTTTGCCCCCCGCACAGTCTCATCGAGCACCGCCTTACCTTCTCCAACATTCTCACCGAAATCCCAGTCTCTTTGCACAACACTGCGATGCTTTCCTCTTTGCTGTCTACTCTCTCGACGCCAGCCGCGCCTACGCCGGGCTCTCTCGAAAGCTCCACCGCGTACCAGCTTGCACACCCGCCCACAGCAGCCATTAGCTCGCCGCACACATTGCTGGCTCTCACGCATACACCCGTACTTTCCTCGGCGCTCGAGTCCACTCTGGAAGCTCTGGACGACTACGCTGCAGAGAATGGCAATGTGGGCTACCAGAGCCGGCAGCTGGCTCGAGAGAAAGCCAGACTGGAGGCGCAGATTGCCAGAAAGCAAGCAGAGAATGTGACTAGAGAAGCGCAGGGATTGACGCCTCTGCCCATCGAGGAGAAGCTCAAGCTTGGAAACGAACCGAGCAGGTTGGAGAGCACCATGCTGCTAGGTCAGCTCGACGACAAGGCGCGCAGGCTAGCCGAGATTTGCGCCACTACCGCCGTGCAGCTCAACGCCAGCCGGACCGGTGCCATCTAGACAAGCGAGGGACAGCGCCTCTCTACGCCACACTCTCAGCATTTGCTCGAAATCGCCACAGTCCCGATCGGACCACTTGTACTCTTGTCACGGCTTTGCGAATCGAACATGATTCTGCCTTTTATCCCTCCAAATGCGCGTGTGCGGTGTCAGGATGACCTCCCAGATGCAGCCGTGGACGCTTTTGTTCTGCTAAGGAGTGTCAATCTCAATCAGTCTCGGCAGTCATCCAACGCGACAGAGTTACGACCTGCAAGGCGCCTGCTTGGTCGGGCGCTTGAAGCGTGATGTAATCTCGGCTTTCGCACAGGGTTGCCCGTGATGTCCGACGCGCAAGTGGTCCTGGGGATTCAGACGCTTGGAGTGGATGTCGTGGCGATCCGTGATGAACGCTGGCACCTTTGTTGAATGATGTGCAGTCGCCGTCTGGACGAGATGTAGCTGCGATGAGAGGAGGAGAGCAGCGCAGCATCGATCAGCTAGCAGGGTCATGCATAGGCCGCGACCGGTTTCCCCGCGCATGCAGGACCTCGATCCCTGCGCTGCTGCTGGCCTGCCTCCACCCGACAAATCCGCACGCACCGGCGCTTGATGAAGCAAGCCTCTTCGCATGCCCCCGCATTCCGCTCCACGACAGCAAATCCTCGTGCGGAGCGACGCTTCATAAGAGGTCTCTACTGCTGGCTACTTTATGACCTGCAGGTCTTGCTTCGCTACTAAGCTCACCGGGTCCGAGCTACTCCTACTGAGCGCTTCCCACCTGACCTGCTGAGCTCTCCTGCTCTCCATTTCCCAGCGTCGAATCTTCTCAGGTGCGGACACCAACTGCGCTCATCAGGATTTCAGCATCATGTCACTCTCGACTAAGCTGACGCAGCTCTTGGGCATTGCACATCCTATCGTGTGCGGTCCCATGGCCAACGCTTCAGGAGGATCGTTGGCAGCCGCAACGACGTTAGGAGGCGGCCTGGGTTTCATCGGGGCAGGCTATTACGACGCCAAGAAGATGGGAGAAGAGTTCAGGGTAGCACTGGACGCCTTCAAGGGTGAGGATGTCAAGAATGCCTTTTCATCCGTGGACGATTCTCGAGTGAATATCGGCGTTGGATTTCTAGCTTGGAGATTGTCTCACGTTCATTCGGGCGGCAAAGGGGGCGTCAAGCCGAGATCCTCGGACGAAGTTCTCAAGACTTCCATCCATTCCGAAGCTGGAAGTAATAGTCCAGTCATCTCTCTGCTCGACGCTGCTCTCAAGCCCAAACCCATTGCCGTCTGGCTGAGTTTTGGTGATGCTGATGAGATGCGTGTGTGGACCGAGGTGATCAGAAAGAGGGATGCGGAGCTGAACGGACATGGCGACGGCTTGAAGGTGTTCATTGGCATCGGCAGCGAGCAAGAGACCAAAGCTGCGGTGGAGGACTGTGGCGCGGATGTGCTGGTAGCGCAAGGTGAGTCGGGGACAATCGAGCGCGCAAGGTGGGCAGGGCGAAAGGTACCACGGTAGATTCGCATCATCGTGCTCGGCAGCCCTCTTGACTGACTGCTGATCTGCGCTGCTTGCTCGCCATAGGCTGCGAAGCTGGTGGGCACGGACTGGGCTCCTCACCACCACTGCATGCTCAACTGCCTCGCATCGCCGCTCTCCTGCCAACTCTCACTCCGGGCAACAGTCGGGGAGAAGTGCCGCCGTTGCTGGGCGCAGGCGGCTTGTCCGATGGTCCATCCCTCGCTTCCATCCTAGCCCTGGGAGCGGATGGAGGAGTGTTGGGTACGCGCCTCTTGCTGACGCCCGAAGCGGCCTACTCTGACGCGCAAAAGCAAGTGCTGTTAAAGGCTTCTTCGACCGAGACGAAGCGGACGATGGCCTTCGACGAGGCGCGCGGTACACTCGGTTGGCCCAAAGGTGTGGATGGGAGGGGTGTGATCAACGCCACGGTGCAAGCTTACGAATCTCAAGAGGGTGACGCCGAGTCTAGAAGGAGACGATACAAGCAAGCGGAAGGCGAGGGCGATGAGAAGAGGATCGTCACGTGGGCTGGAACGGGAGTGGGAAACATGAACGTGATCAAGCCCGCTCGAGAGGTCATTCAAGAGGTGGGCAATGATGCCGTCAAGACCATCGAGGCGCTCAGTCAGACCCTCAAGCGGTAGCAGACATCGACTACTGCCTCTTTGAGCGCATGGCAAAGATCTCATCCCACCATCAATGCTCACTGCTCAACGCCCCTCACTCTCGTCGAACGAGAGCGGAGTCTCGATGTACCCGCTGCTTACGCTCACGAATTTGAATGTGAATGGGAAAATCAGCCAGCATCCCTCTGATCGCCATTGCGTAACTCTGAAATCGATCCACATGCAGCGCGAAGAAGAAATGACCCGCAACCCACCTGCGCGAGGCCTTTGCAGACATAGTATCCCAAGGGAGGTCGACGCTTGACTCGGCACCACTTTCTGTGATGGTTGAAGCGTGAGTCAAGAGGCTGCGATGGTGTCGCGCTTTGAGATCGCTTCTGCACGCATTGTGTTGTGACTACTCACAATCATCCACGACCGTAGGAGAGTGACTGACTCTGCTCTTCGGAAGTAAGTTAGTAGCTACACCCCTCGATGAGAGCGAGTCACGGATGGTGCAGCGACATCTTCTTGACAGGATATGGCGATCAAGGTGCGCGCTTCGATGACGTACAGTATGCAGCAGTGACCACACCGCCTGGCCTTGCCTTGTCCCGCCTAGCTGCCCGATCGTGGGGGTTACACGCGAGACTCGTGACTCGTGACTGGCCGGTTCAAAAGGCATGCTGCACGCGTGCATGTATACGCTAACATAAGCGGGAAGTGTCCGCCGCGAGCAACATCACCGCTCCAGCAGCTGCCGCTCCAGCTCGACAGGACGGCCATGGTCACAGTCGTGAGTCAAGAGGAAAGAGTCTGAAGAGTGACTCGACTTGTTTCGCGTACAGTCCCGTCACAGCAAGTATGGTGTGATACGAGGTGTAATGCGGGTTGCGAGCGTAGGGCATCATCCCGCCCCGCCGTCTTTTGGAAATAGTCCGATGCGGTGAATCGAGACGAGCGAGGGGATCGAGTAAGCGAATCGTGAATGCATGCGTTGATTGACGTCAACTCGCCGCTTTTTTCCGCAGAAGCTTCCCACGCCATTCCTGGGTCGTGAATCGTGAATGTCATCGTATGCTGCTAGTCACGAATGACTCGTGACGGTAGTCGCAGGTGTCAAAGAGTGGTGCTTTGCTGCTGCTGCTGCTGCTACTGCTACTGCTGCCTTTCTGTTCTGACGCTGTTGCCCAAGTCGGACCTGCAAATGTGAATTTTGAATGATGTCGGCGACTTTCAATCAAGAATGAGCCATTCACATTGCTGAAGAGGCGTCGCTATACAGCAGCGTCGCTGTAGCTATTTCTGGTCAAGTGCGTGTGGATGCGGGACAAACAAAAAGCCAAGTCAGCAGTAGCGCATACATGCTGGTAAGCGAGGTTGATGTTCCTGCCGCGGGCGGTGAGCCACGAGTCAGGAGTCACGAGTGTGATGAATGGGGTTGGAGGCAGGACAAGTCGTGGAGTCTTGAGCATACATGTACCTCTCCCATGACGCGCAAACGACTGTCTCTGTATCACCCACACCCCGTCCTTGACTCGCCATAGCTCTTTTCGCCATCTGCAATCGTGACTCTTTGCACACAACAGTCAACATTTTCGCCATCACCGCACCGCGACGCCCATCTCGATCCACAAGATGACGGACGCAGAGGAATCGCAAAGCCAATCCTACCTCGACTCTGCTCGAGAACTCGTCTCATCAGCAGGCGCCACTGCGCAGTCCGCATACGAGCAAGCAGCTCAAAAAGCATCGGACGTGTACCAAGCCACACCCGCCATCCTGCCCGGTTCTCAAAGCGAAAAGTACTCGGAGGACAGTGGAGCAGTGCCGAATGATGGAGGCGTTGCGAATGCCGAGAGCGGAGAATCAGCGGCACCGTCTGGCAAGGAGGAGAGAATCGAAGAGACCAGATCCAAAGGACGTGAGTGGCGCACAACGAGCCGAGCCGAGCCGAGCCCTTCCCTGCCTCTGCGCTTAGCATTGTGCGATGTTGCATCTTACGATGATGTCTCTGTTGCATGCTACACTCCAGCTTCGGATCCCGCACGCCTGAACAAGTCGCAGCAAGACATTGGCACAGAGTACAATGTACCAACGTGAGTTCCTAGCGGGCGACGTGGACCGCGTTCGCCCCAATCCGGCTCGCTGGCGGCCAAGGTAGGAGAGATGCAGCTCATCTGACTGAGCTCTCATCATCTCCTGGCTTTGTTGCGCCTGTCACAGCGCTGCCGGTCAAGGGACGACGCGCAGTGCCGACGAAAAGGCATTGGAAGCGGCCAAGAACGAAAAAGGAGCAAAGCAAGCCAATGTGCCTCAGGACTACACTGACGAGCCATGTCCCAACAGCAACAATAATGGAGGCGAAAAGCCTCACGAACCAAAGGCAGGCGGCAGACCACGAGGGAACTCGGAAGCTGTTTCGGATTATGGAAGCTACGACAATGATGGCAGACCGACCAGAGGCATCGTAGGCAAAGCTCTAGCTTCGGCACAGGGCAACGCTAAAGTCATCGCTGGCAAGATCCAGAAGGACGAGGACAAGGTGGAGACCGGCAAAGCTCTCAAGCGCGGCGAGATCTGAGCAGCTCTGAGCCATTCAAACCGCGCAGACTCTCTTCGTCGAGCTCGACGTGCGCATCGATTCGCAACAGCATCGTAGTCTTTGTTCTCAGACGAGTCCCATTTCTGCCAAAGTGTATTCTCCTCTGTGCTCCTGTGCTCCTGATCGGTCTTCTAACATGCATTCAGCCTCGGAACGACTCAAAATTCCCAATGCATTGCATCATCGACAGCTTGACTCAGAAGGTGCGCACTTCAGTCACGTTCCTGTCCGAGTCAAGCCCAAGTCGCAAGCCTCTGCCATGCCAGGGCTTCTTCACCCCCTGTACGCCATCCCCAAAGAGCTCGTAGCCAGGCATGTATCTGAGGCGCAGCACAGCGCGTGAGCTCTCGCAACTAGACCCTCTCGCCCTCCTAGGCTCGCTCGCGCACTCACCTCGCGACAAATTCTCTTACAGCTTCGTCGGACATGCCTTTGCCCCCATTCCGCTCCTTCATGGCCCGCTCAGCTTGCAACCTCCATACAAAGACTGTGTCCAAAGCTTCTGAACCTTCATCTCTTTGTCCCGAAGGAGGCGTGGGTGCCAGCTGAACAAAAGCATCGATCTGAGCCCACCAGGTGGCCTCGTATAACGCAAGCTGCGAATTGACTTCTTGAAGGTGCACGATCGGATGCCGGGTGAAGTATGATGCACCGGAAGCAGAAGTTGTGCCGGTTCGAGCGTAACTCGATGAGCGATCGTACTTGTCTCGCAGCACGGCTGGCTCCAGCGAGCCAAAGCCCATGCACCATCCTTCCCAGATGACCACATCAAGGGGTGCATGCACCTTCACAGTCTCTCCTGAGCGGTCGCCTTCACCACCATGAGCTGATTTATCATAGACAGGCAGATCGAGCACTCGAGCTGTAATCCCGCCTTCGCTAAGCTCATTCATGCCGGCTATCGATTGAAGGACGGCGGAGCCAAGCGGCACATCATGTGTGCCGGGCTGACCTCTTCCTTCGAGCAATTTGTTGCTGGGATGCACAGCAGCTAGTGCTTTCTGGTCAGCATGGGTCAAGTAGAGGTCTAGGCGGCGCTCAGATCATGTCAGCGCAGCCTACAGAGCGTGTTCAGTCCGCCTTCTCCTGCCCTTGTCCCTTCAATACTCGCTCACCATCCAGACTGAAGACGGCAGCGCGCACATCGTACCTTGCAGTCCTCAGCTCGTCCAGCAGCTGGGATGTCAAAGTCGTCTTGCCTATGAGCGAGCCAAGTCGAAGCGAGTGGGTGGTGATGATCAGCGCAGCAATTCCACATGATCATTTGCTCATCGCGCGTACGACTCACCGCTGCCTTGTGGCCCTTGCATGCCTACCAATAGAGGTTTGATGGCGTGCGATCCGGCGTTGCTGCTGCCTCTGTTCGACGCTGCAAGCGCCTCTGATCGATGCCTGGCCACCTGCTTGACGATGTGCTCTGCGATCAGACGGACCTTGAACGACGACATGTCTTCGCGCTCGTTCCGACGCAGAGATTGGGGCTCGGGCAAGCTCATCGCGGCAACGACTGCCCATCTGCCATCGCAAACGCCGCGGGCCTCAATGCAGGGCGTTGAGGTGTCTGCTTGAGGTAGTGGTTTTGAGTTGAAGAGGCCGGCCTTTTGTAATGTGAGTGGAGATTCGTAATTGCGAACGCATGGATGCTCGCTGGATGATGACTGTTTGAGAGTGGTGCACCCTGCCTCACAGGCGCATGAGCGTCTCTACAGTCGTGACTCGTGAGTAAGAATAAATCGCAATACGGCTGTCGGGCTATAGCGCGGGATTGTGGAGGGGATTGGTGCCTGCAGGGTGGTAGCGCGCTAAGCGCACGTTGACCCGCGTGCAGACTCGGTGCAGTCACCAGTTGTTACAGGAGTCGTGGGTTACGAATGAACCACTCAAGGAAAGACGAGATACAAGTCCAGCTTGCCGTCACACGTCCACATCAGAGTAGACTCATCAAGCCTTTCAAGAACCACAAGTACCGACTGTGAACGCAGCATACTGGCACGATAAGAGCAGGGTACGAAGGCTGAGAGCACTGCCTGACATTACGAAAGCCGCACGCAGGCATCCACAGCCAATCGGCGGTAGAACGAGGCACACGGCAGGCGCTGCGCAGAATGGCACCCAGCCCCATCTTCAATCTGAGCGCTCAAGACGCGGACAAGATCTTGTCTGAGATTCGCTCGTCCGGCTACATCCGCGAAGTAGCTTCGGATGTGCCCCCAGAAGAGTCGGGCCTGTGGGACGTGGTCCATTTCGTGCCAGACTCTTTCCGCCCTTCCGCCAAGCTGGAGAGTTCAGAGGCCATCATCGATCACGCTGTCGAGACGCTCAAGAAGCAGGAATGGGATAGCACAGCCATCGTCCTGGCCGATGAGCGCACAGCGAAGGACGGGTCTCTGCTCATCTACAATGTCGACTCCACGCAGCCCAAAGGCAAGAGGCTTGTTGGCAAATTGCGTGCGGTGCCTAGAAGTGTCATCGAGGTGGTGAGACGCATGCATGCGTCGTAAAATCCCCAAACAACCTCGCTTACTAGCCCTTTGTGGTTCATTTGCCCACCTTCTGCCTCTTCTCACGAAAATGCCATAGGTTTGCAACCTGCAGGTGTCTAACATGGACCTAAAGGAGGTGAGTGCGAAGCACTGATATCGACAGCAGATCCAGCATTGGGAATGTCCAACTAATTTGACATGCTCACGTCCATCTTTGCCGCCGCTCTTGGCAGTACGCCAACTGTATCAAGGAGGGCGACGTCTTTGACGCTGGCTCATGACGCACTCAGCACGATTCGCGACGAAAGCAATAGCATTATCGAGGAGGTTCCGGTGACATATGAAGCTTGGCAATGATCGGACGAATGCGGCAAAGCTCACTCAGTAGGTCCTACTAAAGAGGAGGGTTGCGAGACGACGCGCCCCGATGTCCAGGTATATGCTCTATCTCTTCCAAGGACCGAGCCGAGGCGAGGTTGATCCTTGTGCCTGAGCAAAGGCGACGCCGCGTGCGAGGCCTCTGCGGCGTGCGGGCTGTTGCTCACAAAGTGCTGCGCTTTCAGTGCATTTTCCGCAATCCGCACTTTTGACATTGCGGACAACATGTTGGGACCTTCGCCGCTGGGCTCAAGCTCCTTGCTGACCCTGCGGTGCTTTGCATGCGAGGGAGCGCACGGCACTGCAAAACCATCGTTGTTGACCAACAGCTGACCCATGCGAGACGATGCTCGCGACTGCTCCAGGTCTCTAGAGGCGCCTTCGCTGCTTAGCGGCCGCTTCTCTCTACTCATGGGACGCCGCGATTTGGCATCATTGGCGGAATCCGAGCGGCCCTGTGATGACTCTGTCCGACGAGCCATCATGGCAGCCATCGAAAATGCGTGGACTGAGCCTCGCGAGGTGCCTTGTCCATCCCGCAAGTGTGTTGGGATGGGGGATGCGGGCTGGGATGGCGCTTGCTCATTCGAAGCGACTTTGCTCCTCCAATAGCGACCCAGATGCCTCTTGAAGCTGGCGCCGCATCCGAGCGCTTCTGCATTGGCAACGATACCTTCCCACTTGACCAAGCGAGAATCCATGGCACTAGCAAGTGCGGTAAAGTCGCCAAAGTAGAGGTAGTGCAGTATCGCAGAGAAGGCGGATGGATCGGGAAGGGGGAGCACTACGGCAGGCAAAAGGTTGGGCGCCGCCGGTCGAATGAGGCGAGCCTGGGGTGCACCGAGCAGCGGTGATGTACTGTCTATGGTCGGTCTCCCATCCGCATCTGCAGGCGACTGTTTGAGCTCAGCAAGTACGTCTCGAAAAAGGGTGGATTGTGTGGTGAGATAGTCTGAATGAACACGATACGTGAGTCGTCGATGAGCTGGAGTGCGAGCTACTGGAGCCAGTCCGGCACCTTCTTGGCGTGATGGACTGGGAGCAGATGCTCGGCGCTGCTCGTTGCGAAGCTGTGAGATTCTCGCGACTTCTTTGGTGGGCGCTGCTGGATGGCAGGCTAGCGAGGGTGCATTGCTGCTCATCGGCGTGAAAGCTACACTTGTGGCAGGAGTGTAGCTCTGCTCGGCCATGCGGCTGCTGCCCATCAGAGACGATCCGGCACATGTCGAGGTGGACGCCTCCGAGTCTCTTCTCGAGCTCTCCAAACAGCTTGCTTCGGGTCCCATGGGAGTGATCTCGCCGGCAGCCATCTTGGTCGCCGCTCGACGCTCGTACAATCCGCTCTGCCTTCCGGGTGCCTCTATTCTGCGAAGGGGTGAGGAGGGGCGGCTCGCATGCTGCTGTGAAGGTACTGCAGCAGGGTGTGAATCGCGTCTTGACGATTGCGATGGACCTTGAAGGCCTCGCGGTGACGTTGCCGCAGCATGGGGTTGGGCAGCAGGCGTGACGATGACGACCAGGTTCACCGTCTCGGGTCTGGTCCAAAAGTACGATCCAAGACTGTGGAGCCTATGGACGACTTCCTCCATTGGCATCGGCTGCGTCCCACAGTCGATTTGCGACGCTGGCTGATGCCATTGAGGCACTTGAGTCGGTGCGGGGAGGAGCTCGAGGCCGATGTCAGACTTTTCAGACATTGTCTGCGTCTTGGTCGCGACGAGGGACAAGTCGTCAACTAAATGTAAGAGAGAGGGGGCGAGAGGGAGAGAGAAGGGGGGGAAGAGAGAAAGAGAGCTTAGAATGAACGATCGCTGAGGATGACACTGAGCTGGAGGACGGATGCGAGTGACGAGCGTTGAGAGTTCGAGACTGCAACATTATCATGAGCACGGCAGTGTGAAGCTTTCAATTCTCCCAGTGGAGCGGCAACATGCTCATGGAAGCGTCGGGAGAGCAAGGCGTTCGACTTGCATGAAGCCGGTATCGCAACTCTTCTCGATCCGTCAA